TACAGCTTCCTTCCAGCTCTCATTACGGTAAACCTTTTTAAAAACTAAATTAAACAGCCAATCATGACAACTATTTACTTTTCAAAATGAAATTATTATTAAAGACCTTGGGCTGAACCAGTGGTACATATTACAATCACCTACAGAGCTTAAAAAAAAAAGTCTATCAAAATTCTTATTCAGAATACCTGGAAAGAGATTAAAAATCAGTGGTTTATGGACATTCTTCACAGATCCCAAGGACCAGGACTATGGTCTCTCTTCATCAAGTAATAACCCCACCACTGATACACAGACATCTACTGTTCACATGGAGTTCTACATAAAGCCTATTTACAACTCTAAGAGCAGAAATCAGTTGTCTGACATCTTTTATAGACATTAGTCATTTTAGGATCAAATCATCTTCCCCAAACAAGTCTATCACACAGAGGTTTGGAGGGGAAAAAATGTGTGTTTTTATTTTGCTACATGTTAATCTATCACTGCTCTAAATTCTGTTTAGAATATGGAAGAGCATCAATCAATAACTAAATCATATTCATTTATGTCTTCTGCCCTTCAGAAGTATGAGCTCTTAGAGCTGCACTGTCCAACACACACGTGGCCACCAAGCACCTGAAATATGGCTGGTCTGAACTGAGAGGAGCTGTATGTACAAAATAAATACAGGATTTCGAAGACTTAATACGAAACCAGAATGTAAAGTATCTCATTAACTATTTTTTATATTAATTACATGTTAAAATGAGAATGTGGTGGATATATTACATAAAAGATATTAAAATTAATTTCATCTTTTTTTTTTAATGTGGCCTCTAGAAAATGTGAAATTACACGTGGCTCATGCTAGACTTCTCTTGGACAGTGCTGTCCTAAAGGAAAACAATGATTACGTCTTTTCAGGTGCTCAGGTTTTGAACCTGATCCAATATTTTCAGTCGCTTTTAAATTCATCATTTATTTTAGCAGTTTCTAGTCTCTATCCACTAAGAGTTCCTGTTGAGCTAACTACCTGATGTCTTTCCATTTACATCGCACTTTACCAGAGAAGTTGGGGGAAAAAAAAGAGATGTCTTAACATACACAAAACTCTACGTAAAAAATCAAAAACGATTTCAAAATCTGCTATCATTGGGGCTGGCCTAAAGTTTGCGCGCTCCGCTGCAGGCGGCCCAGTGTTTCGTTGGTTCGAATCCTGGGTGCGGACATGGCACTGCTCATCAAACCACGCTGAGGCAGCGTCCCACATGCCACAACTAGAAGGACCACAACGAAGAATATACAACTATGTACTGGGAGGCTTTGGGAGAAAAAGGAAAAAAATAAAATCTTTAAAAAAAAAATCTGCTATCATTTTGGATCTTACCACTCACCTGAGTCTACAAAAGAAAAGAAATCCAAGAACTCAATCTGTTGCTTCCATTTAAAATGAATTAAGGCACTATTCAAAGCTACCTAAATTTGAGAAAACTCAACTACCCCAAGCCCAGGTAGATGCAAACACTCAACCAGAACTTAGCTCAGACACACGTGGCCACTGCAGCTCTCCTCTCTTGGATTTCCTTCAGGAACGGCATGTAAACTACCTAGACAAATAAGCCTATTTCCTAGAACACCTTAAATTTGCTCTTTTAAAAAAGGAACAAAACTGATTCATCAGATTTATAATACGAAAGCTCTGGCTTGCCAGTTTCAAAACTCTAAGTGATCTGGCCCCTGCCTACTTCTCCATCATCATCTCCAACCACTCTCCCCGCCTTCAATCATTCTACCCGAGCCAGTACGGCCTTCTCTCTCTTCCGTAAACAAGCCAGGCATCCAGACACTCAGCATCTGTACACTGGCCCGTGTGTCCACACAAACACCCTTCTGCGGTCTCAGGCAGGCTGGCTCCTTTCTCATCCTTCGGATTTCAGCTACTTGTCAAGATCTTCCTCTAGTTCACTATCCAATGAAACCTCACTGTTTCCACACCCCCAAGTTACCCTGCAGTCCTACTGTTTTCCTAGCACTTAGGAAAATCTGAAACTATCTCATCTGCCTCTCCAAACTTACAGTAAGCCCCCCAAGAACAGGGGTCCTGTCCGTCTTGCTCACAGCTGATATCCCTAGCACAGACAACAGGCACAGCAATGAGCACTCCAGCGTCTGACTGAATGAATCAAAAAATCCAAAGCTGCCTTTACACACACTCACTCCCCATTAACAGAGGAGGGAAAAAAAGCTGCCTTAAAAGATGAAGGTGAGGGGCTGGCCCCGTGGCCGAGTGGTTGAGTTCGCGCGCTCCGCTGCAGGCGGCCCAGTGTTTCGTTAGTTCGAATCCTGGGCGCGGACATGGCACTGCTCATCAGACCACGCTGAGGCAGCGTCCCACATGCCACAGCTAGAAGGACCCACAACTAAGAATATGCAACTATGTACCTGGGGGCTTTGGGGAGAAAAAGGAAAAAAATAAAAATCTTTAAAAAAAAAAGATGAAGGTGAGAACCTTAGAGGTTAAGATAATCTAGTAAGCTTATTTTAAAAATTATACAACTGGCTTCCTATGTACATGTCCTTCTAGTCTTTATTTTCTAATTTCTAATACTTAAGCCTCTTGAAGAACTGCCATATTTCTGTATGGATAAAAATAAGTACAGAAATAATTACATTTTGCTTGCTGAAGCTGGAGAGGGAAGAAAGGCTTGCATCACTAAGTATTTAAAGATGAAATAAGGCTATAATAATAAAAATATTGAGGATTAGCACAAGACTAGACAGATAACGGTAAAAAAGACAAAGTTTAGGGCCAGGCCCCGTGGCCGAGTGGTTAAGTTCACGTGCTCCGCCTTCGTCGGCCCAGGGTTTCACAGGTTCAGATCCTGGGCACGGACATGGCACTGCTCATGAGGCCACGGTGAGGCAGCGTCCCACATGCCACAACTAGAAGGACCCACAACTAAAAATATACAACTATGTACCGGGGGGGAATTGGGGGAGTAAAGGCAGGGAAAAAAAAAGAAGACTGGCAACAGTTGTTAGCTCAGGTGCCAATCTTTAAAAAATAAATAAATAAATAAAGACGAAGTTTAGAAACAGACCCTATAATACACCCTTACAAAGGGTGCTTTTCAAAGAACCAGAAAAAAGGATAAACCAATAGTTGGGACAACTGACTAACGACTCGGTACAAAAAGCTGGATTTCTTCTTACCATAAACAGAAATAAAATTCCAAATATAGTAAAGAAATGTAAAAATATAAGCCATTAAAAAAGAGAATATTAGTGTCAATTTCATAGGCCTATATGAGCCTATTAAAAAGATTATCACTGGGGGCCAGCCCGGTGCACAGTGGTTAAGTTTGGACGTTCCGCTTTGGCGACCCGGGTTCGCCGGTTCAGATCCCAGGTGCAGACATGGCACCACTTGGCAAAAGCCATGCTGTGGTAGGCATCCCACGTATAAAGTAGAGGAAGATGGGCATGGATGTTAACTCAGGGCCAGTATTCCTCAGCAAAAAAGAGGAGGATTGGCAGTAGTCAGCTCAGGGCTAATCCCCCCCCCACCAAAAAAACAATATCATCAATTTTCTCAAAGGTAAAAGATACTGTATCCATCATAAATGCTGACAAAAATAAATTTAAATGAAACCTTAAAAAAATAAAAATATAAGGACAGGAACACAAGAATAAGAATAATAGGGGGGCTAGCCCTGTAGCCGAGTGGTTAAGTTCACACTCCGCTTCAGTGACCAGGGGGTTCGCTGGTTCAGATCCTGGGTGCGGACATGGCACCGCTTATGAGGCCATGCTAAGGTGGCATCCCACATGCCACAACTAGAGGGACCCACAACTAGAATACACAACTAGGTACTGGGGGCATTTGGGGAAGAAAAAGCAGGAAAAAAAAATAGAAGATTGGCTACAGTTGTTAGCTCAGGTGCCAATCTTTTAAAAAAAAAAAAGAACAGGAAAATTGACCATAGCATGCAACATAATTTGGCTGTGAATAAGCTACACATAACCATAATACTGTCAACAGTGACTATTACTCTAACCAAAATTATATTATAAACAGTGACAATAAATGTGGATATATGACGTAGTCAGGGGATTCTACCAGAAACTGTTACTATCCAAAGTGGGAAGTTAATAAATAATACCAGAAGCTGTAAAGTCATTAAGTAGCAAAATAAGCTTATCATTTAGAGGTAGCACCAAAAGAAACAGTAAAGAGTTGAAAACGACTGCCTCTAGGGACTGGGAAGGAGGTGGGCAGGCACTGCTGTTTTTCATAAAAAGCCCTGTGGAGCTGATGGTCTGACATGTCTATTACAGGGTTTTTGTACATGTTTTAATAAAAAGTAAAATTAAAAAAGTACAAATGCATATGGAAAATGCTTTTTAAAGTTAAGACAGGAAAATGTACTATGGGGGAAATCAAATGTATACATGAATTTATTCATATCCATCACAAAGTTATCTAAGACAGGGAAAAAGGAGAGAAAAGACTAAATGCCTACCAAAAAGGAGCTAGTGAGATCAACTATATGGCACATCCATGATGAAATACCATAAGTCATTTAAAAATGCAAACAGGAAAAAATTTGTTCTTGTGAACAAGAACCATGTGACAAGGAAGTACAATTCCAATTTTGATTACACACACACATATCCAAGTAACACAGGGATGAAAAGAGTGTTCACAAAATGTTAATGATAATAGATAAGTTTATGGATGATCTTTCTCAGTATTTCCAAATGAATAAACGTGTTATTAAAGAACTCAAAAGTTAGTTAAAATAAAAAAGTAACTGCTGCTTCTACAAGTTGGAATGAAATCAGAGCAAAGCTACTTTATCATCTTGTTTCAGTTTGTTAAACTGAAAAACAAACACTGCCTAATAAGAAGCCAGAACTTCCATTAAGGAATCTCCTGGATAAACAATTCTTAACATAAGACTGGTTTTGTAAGTCAGTGAAGTTATTATTAGTTCCTTTTACTACCATGCACTTACCTTATTTGAACAAAGATTCAGCTTGCACCAGATCCTAAACAGACACTCCCTCAAAAGAACACTGGCAGTGCTGCTGGCTTCTCCAATGTACAAAGTCAGGATAGGATTCTGGAATGAGAGGAAATAAGCGGTGATAAAAGTTATCCAAACCTTGCAGATTGCATCTCAAAATACAGATGCTTGAAATCTATAACCAAAAACTCTACTTTAGCCCTCAACTTCACCCTAAGTGGACACAGGCTTCTCTCTCAAAGTACCAGCCTGAGGAGCTCTGTCTCTCTCACACGTTCCCCTCCACCCAACCTTCCACAGCAAGGCTGCAGTACGGAAAGCTAAAACCTTCCTCTTGTAACCTGATACTTTTGCCAGCAATATTTCAGGTGGTATGGTTTGCATTATGCAAGACTAATTCACAAACTGCATAATTCAACCTGGAGGATTACCTCAGAAGAATTAGACACTTGAAACCAAAAACATTTAACTGAGGCACGCTGAACTAAATTTAACAAATACATTTCAAGTTAAAATAACTCCCCATTCTCATCCCTCAAAGCACGTGGAAAAAAGCCTTCTGATCCAATTGTTTAACATTCTCGTATCTAAACATTACTAAAATGACTTTACATCAATGCTATGTAGTGTTACCCAAAACAAGAAAAACAAAGTTCCAAGATCATCAAGCTCATATATGTAGTTAATGTCCTCACTCCTAGCTTATTAAAGCCTTATCATTCACCCATATTACTATAAAGTAGGAAGGTACCCAAGATTCAAATAACCTGAAGATGCAGTCTTGACATTAATCTTTTCTTTTCTTGCTTACTCAGCATTCACTCAGATACCCACCACCCTTAGCTTTCTCTGAAACCTGTGGTTTGCACGCTGCTCACCCTTGCTTAGTGCACCAGGAAAGAAAGGAATCTATTTCCTTAAGCTATGGTCTCTTGGTACATGTTGAACCCTCAGCCTAAAATGACTCCTCCCCTCTCAGCAAACTCCTCCTCATTCCTATGAGGGTCTCCTTCCACAGTACGGTGTCCCTGGCTCGTGAAGCCTGGGTTAGGTACTGCTTCTCTGTGTTATCCTAGACGTGTCTCTCCTTACACTCATCTCATTGTATCTGTTAATATGTCAACTTCCCTCACAGGGCTGCGAACTCTATACACCTAACACTGATGTGTGTTTGCTGAGTAAACTGAATACCCAAGCAATAAACTCTTGACCTATACCAAAGGAAATCAGTAAGTGATATTACAAACAGGCAATAAGAATCCACTCTCAAAACTAACAGGATAAGACTTTGATCCAGATAAAATTAGTATTCAGTCAGATCCTTTACCAAATTAGAGACAACGTTGATAGATTTACTCAGTTGATAAACAGTAAAAATATAGCAATTTCAAACACTCATTCTTTCAAAATACTTTTGCATTTATTCTTGCAGGTCATTCTTAGAATTCATCCTAGGTTACATGAGCCAAAACTTCTTTCCCTGTTTCTAACTGCACAGGGGCTCACATCAGCCACCTCGAGGAAATCCCGATGACTGCTCCAGGACTGAGAACCGCTTACTCCACAACACAGTGAATTAAAGAAACAAACGACAGTATTCCAATACATCCATCCTTAAGGTTCTAATCGGACAGCAAGCACACATAAATTTGCCATTTTACTACCCCATCATGTTTCTTTCCTATTATTTAACCTCTTCTTGGATACTGGCAAGAATTCTATCATCCCAGCAAGTCTTCAATTTTCCACTGTCACAATGGGTGGAGAAGCAAATCTGAGGTTCTGGCCCTTAGTTATTCTGTGACAGTAAGGAGATACCTGAAGCCCTGAGTCATCCCTGCCACCACAGCTTTTATGTCCTGCCTGTGTCATCTGGACAGTCACAGGCATACTTTTCAGCCTTTATCTCCTGAACCTCCCTTGGTGAGATACCAGTATATTACCAAGGACACCCCAGCTAATACACACCAGTATATTAGCAAGAAAAATATCTCTTTTCCTCTTCTACACAATTTCCTTTTAACTGTCCACTTATTCAATAAAAAAATGTATCAAGTACCTACTACATTGCCAGGCACTATTCTAGGCAATGGAGATTCAACAATTAAAAACTCTCCTCATTCCTGGAGCTTACATTCTAGCGGGGAGATGGGGGCACATGAGGGAATGAAAGTTACGACTTTATATAAAGTGGTCAAGGAAAGCCTCTCTCACGAGACAGTTGAGCAGAGACTTGAAGAGAAAGAGTATGCTGTGCCTTCTCTGAAGGCAGAGAGGACCAAAGAGAGGAAACAGTAAGTGTAAAGACCTGGGGAGGAAACATGCTTGCCTTATCTGAGGAAGAGAGAAAAGGAGTGGCTGCAACGCACAACGCCGCCAGGGAGCAGTCGGAAGATGGGGTCAGAGGCTTGGGTGAGTGGATGAGGCCTTGCACGCCATCATAAGGACTTTGGTTTTCCTCTGGGTGATGTGGGCAGCCACTGAGTGTTGTGAGCAGAGGAGTAACATGACCAGAATTACGTTTTAAAGGACTGAATTATGTTTCAAAAGTTATGTTTTAAAAGGATCATTTTGGCTGCTGAGTGTAGAATAGATTTTAACAGGGCAAGGTCATAAGAAATTGGCAGATATTGCCTACAATAATGCAGGTAAAGGAATGCAGTGGCTTAGACCAGAATGGAATACTCCCACACTCCATACACTGCTAGACCTTAAGTAACAACATAGTTCCTAAACACAAAGCATGAACACTAACATTCGAGGACCATAGCACTTGTACCTTCTACGGTTAAAGAAGACTTGAAATGTTTTTCTCATCTCTCCTCAAGCACCTCTGGTAATCTTTTATGAAGATACAGAATACAAGGAAATACAAGGATGACCGTGCCTGCTCCTATGAACCTGAGGTCAAGGCTAGTCCTTTAAGCCACCAGGCAACTTGCTTATATATTACTTAAGGACTAATGTGTTCTAGTTTCAAAGCATGATGGTGTCAACAAAAGTGAACAAAAGAGGACAGTGTCTTCTATTCAAGTTAACCCAAGGTATCCAATAAATAACGAAATTTAACCTTAGCCACTCCCCATTGAAAAAAATACTAGGAATTGATGAGATTAGGACAGTTGAGCAAATAAACCTTTAGTCTGTCTAAGCAGCTTCCATGGGTATCAGCAGGAACCAAGATTGAATCCAAGACTGGTGAAATTACTATGAACGGCTCTGGAGAGAAAGACACATACCTCCAAGTGCGTCATGCATACAGGGCCTTCTACATTAGGGGGTCAGCAAATGATGCACAGGCCAAATCTAGCCCAACCTGTTTTTGTACCACCCATGAGCTAAGAACGGTTTCCACATTTTTAAATGGTTGAAAAAAATCGAGATTTCATGTGAAATTTCTGTGAAATTCCAATTTCAGCATCCACGAAGGGTTTTATTGGAAAACAGCTAGATCCATTCGTTTACAGACAGCTGCTTTCACACTACAACAGCAGAGTCTGGTTGCAAAAGAGACTGGATGCAGTGGTCTCACCACTCTGCACAGCTACAAACTGCAGTGAGGCAGTTACAACTCTACAGTATTTGAAGCACTGTGCAGTGTCATATCATATATTATTTTTAAACCATCAGTGCATATCCATATGTCAAAACAAGAAAAGAAAAGCGGACTGTTAAAGAGAATGTTGCCCATTTAAGGCACAGTGTGGAGGTCAGTGGGGGCAACATCAGTAGTCAATTACAAGGCAGGTGGAGGGGAAAGGTGCTGACCTAAGTAATATGAAAATGAGTGGAAGAGGGAAGAGTGAAAGCAAAAGGAACTGCACATAACCACTGTATTCTAGTTGTTAAAGTCGTTTCCCAGGGGATATGGGTTAACAATTCTGACATCACTACACGTATATACTGGAATTAATAAATAAGAACATGGTAAGAGCCAAGTTTCTCGGTTGAGAATCGGAGGATAGTCAAGAAAAAAGCAAAGGCTGGAATGGTGCACACAGTACTGGATTAGAGTTGGAGACAGCACTATGAACTCATGTTTAGCTTACTGCAGATACAAATGGATATATGTGGAAATATCAAGAACTCAGATATTTCTATACGTATACAGAATACATGTTAATATACAGATATTTCCTGTAAGTATACATATTTTTCTATAGGTATATGAAATATATGTTAGCATATACACATCTATTTCCTTGCTTTGTCAGCCTACAAGACCTAGAAGCAATAATACTCCAGTAGCAAAGAGCACACCTAGCACCCAGACCTTGATTTCTAATACCATTGTCCAGTGAAAGAAACCAGGGCTCCTTGGAGAAATGGCTGGATCCTAGGGGTGGGGCAGGCAATACACAGGATGAGCCTGGAGTATCTTGCAAGGTCAGAAAGTAAGGAAGTGTTTAAAAAAAAAAAAAAAAACCCACAATGAAGGACACTCCTGTCCATCTGAGAGTTCTTAGCCAAAACTGGAAATATCTGAACAAAATACAGTCGTACCGGATAACTCAAAGTATAAAATATCCATGAGTCCACACAGATATAAATAAACGACTGAATAAATCAACAAATGGATGAGAAGAGACCAATCTCTCCTGCAGAAGAATTCCAAATAAATTACGTATATACTCCACCTTCAAGGGGGTGGAACATAACTCTCCACTCCTTAAGTGGAGTGGAGTCAGCCTAGTGATTTCCTTCCATAGACTACAGTATGGAAGGCAAGGGAGGGAGTAACTTACGTTGGAGAAACTAGCCAGGACTAAGGTTAACATCAACAATAAATCACGTTGATAGCATACACTCCTTGACATGATATGATGAAAATGGCACTTTACCTCTGTGGGCTTTCTCCCCAAAATCCCTAACGCCTGTCTAATCATGAGAAAAATATCAGACAAATACCAATTGAGGAACATTCTACAAAACATCCAGTACTCCTCAAAACTGTCAAGGTCATCAAAAATAAGAAAAGTCTAAGAAACCGGTCACAGCCAAGAGGAGTCTAAGGAGACATGACAACTAAATGTATATCCTAGATGAGATCCTGGAACAGAAAAAGGACATAAGGTAAAAAAACCAAGAAAATCTGA